GCTGGAGCGGCCCCGGCAGGCGAGGCGCCGCCCGATCCTCCGGCGGCGCCATGCGCGGGAGCGCGGAACCCCGTCGCGCGGGGCCAGGTGTTGGCGAGGGCGGACCGAAGGCGTCTCTTCGCGCACGTGAGCGAAACGAGGCAGCGGTTTCTTCCGTGCCTGATCCCGTCATTTGATGGGTAGCCTCCCTGGCCCAGTACGGGACAGAAAGACAGAAGCAGAGCGAGTCAGAAGGGGCCTCCCGGGCCATCTAGTCTGACCCCTGGCTCCACCCACGACATGCCCACCATGTGCACATCCAGCCTGTCCTTGGACACTCGCACCGATGGGGCCTCAGCCACCTCCTGGGGAAGCCCATTCCACGCCCTCGGGGTCCTGACTGTCAGGAAGTGCTTCCTGGCATCCAACTGGAACCTGGGTTCCCTGAGCTTTGCTCCGTTGGAGCGCTTCCTGCCTTCCTCTGCAGGGGAGAACAGATCTCTACCCACCTTCGTGTGACATCCCTTCACCAACATACCTCCTCTGAGTCTCCTCTTCTCCAGGCTGAAGAGACCCAGTTCCCTCAGTCTCGCCTCATTCCCCATCCCCTGCAAACCAGCCACCAACCTTGTGGCCCTTCGCTGCACTGACTCCAACCTGGCTATATCCTTCCTGTAATGAGGGGCCCAAAACTGAACACAATACTCCAGTTGCGGACGCACCAGTCATATAGAGTGGCAGTAATTCCTCTCTCGATCTAGAAGCCACACTTCTGGCTGTGCAACCAAGGGTGGCGTTCGCCCTCTTGGCCACCGCATCACACTGCTGACTCATGTTCAGCCTGCAGTCAACCAGCACCCCAAGGTGCCTTTCACAAGTGCTGCTCTCCAGCCACTTGCCCCCTAACCTGTACTTATGACAGGTATTCCTGTGCAAGACCTTGCACTTATCCACATTGAACGCCATCCTGTTGTCCCCTACCCACTTCCATAGTCTGTCCAGATCCTTTGAATCTGGCCACTGCCCCGGTTTTAGTGTCGTCTGCGAATTTGATCAGCAGACTGTTCACCCCTTCTTCCATGTCATTAATGAAATGATTAAACAGGATCGGCCCCAGGACAGAGCCCTGGGGGACCCCGCTTGTTACTGGCCACCATCCCGATGATTCCCCACTACTGGTTACCCTCTGCTTTCGGTCAGTCAGCCATGCCCTAATCCACTGGACAGCGCTTTAGATGCAGCGGGCAGGACCTTTCAGGACTGCAGGGAGCTGGTGGTGAGTGCCCGCCATCTCCGGATTCGCAAACTACCTTGAAGTGGGCTCTGAGGCCGCCTGTCCGCATGCAGAGCACCACCTCCGGAAAGGGGGAGGCATTGCTGGGTCCCCAGTCCAGCCTGGCACTTCCCTTGAGCGCCAGCCTCTCCTCAGGGCAAAACGAACGACGGAGGAAAGCGAAGGCACCGCAAGGCAGCTGTCCCGGGCCCCCGGCTTAGCAAGCTGAAGGCCATGGGGCCTTGGCACGGCTGCAGGACACCACCCTGGCATCAAACACGGGGAACGGGCACACCAGCACAGCTTAACTGCGGCCACCGCCTCACCATTCCTCCCATACATCCACCCAGTGCGGCTTAACACCTTTGCCCATCTGCTTGCCCGCTGCCCACCCACCAGGCTCCACTTCTGCAGTACTGGAGGCAGCCTGGAGTTTTGCTGGACTGGCAAGGCTGTGCTACCTGCCCCGATCCACATGCAGCTGGATCTGCGCCATCGCGCCGGCCTCCACTCCCCACCTGCTCAGCCTCAGGGAGCTGGCAACTCTCGGGGAACAGCAAGGAGGGCGTGAATGGCCAGCAAGAATAAGAGTGCAACAGCTAGCCCAGGGCGGTTTAGAAAGCAGAGGCACACAGGCCTCCGGACTCTGGCTCAGAACTGCAGAAGGGAAGGCTCTCCTGCGGACGCCACCTGCCAGCAGCTCTTGGCGGTCCCAAGCAAGCAGTGAGCAAAATCGGAGCCACGGCCTGCTTAGTTTGGGGCGACTGCCCCTCCTGCCAATGGATCAGGGCATGGTGCTGAGCATCCTTAGGCTGAACAAGAGCCAAGGCCCCCCGCCAGCTGGGCTGCCTGGCGCAGGCCGGGAGCAGGACGTCTCTTCTGCATCTAAATGTGTGCAGATCTCTGCCTTAAAGGTTCTAAGAATGGCAGAAGAGTCTGCCCCACCCCCTACCCCGATCGGGGCAAGATGCAGTGGCGTGGCAGCAACAGAGGAACGAGGGCGGGCAGGCAGCGGCAAGAAGAGCTGCTCAGCCCGCACGAGCCTGCGGTTCCGCCTGCTGGTCTCACGTGCGTGTCCCTCTAGTAAGCGCAAGGAGCTCCATCCTGATGGGGGGGGGGAATACGAGGCCCACTCTCGGGCATTTCATGGGCATTTCATGCCCTTCGGAAACGCAGCTGGGTAGGTGCCAGTCTGGCCTCTCTCGAGCTTGTTAGGGCAGCTGAGCCGCGTGGCGTGGCGGCCTCCACGGGCACAGCAGCCATGCAGGACCGGCATCCGAGGCAAGGCGAGGAGCAAGCAAGGGAAACGGCCAACGAGCCAGTCCTGCCAAGAATGGGAGGCGCTGGGGGAAATCGGCGACGGTTCGTTTTATTTTCTCAAGTGAAGGTAAAAACAGCAGCCTTGGAAAAAACCCAGAGATTTCCGAGGGATCCCCGAAAGGAGCGCTGCCTAATCAGTGGATGCAGCCCAGCTGCTGAAACGCCGAGAAGGTGGTGACTCCCACCAGGCCGAGCATGGCGATGGAGCCGAGGATGCCGCGGCTGCGCTTCCTGGGATCTGCAAGAGAAGGGCGGGAGGCCTCATGGCTCATGGCCAGCACAGTGCAGCGCAGCGCCGCGCCCCGGGCATGGGGGCCTTCCTTTCCAGGCGTCCGCCAGCAGCTCCTCGGCACTGCCGAGCGACAGCTGTGGACTCCGCCGGGCACAGCGCCCTTGCTGCAGGCCGCCCAGGAAAGGTCTCTCCGAGGTCGGGCAGACGTCTCCCCACACTGCCCCTGCTCCTGCCTGCCTGCAGGGATTGCACGCCATGGCAGGTTCTGTCCAGCAAGGGGCCGGGCCAGGCCGGGCAGAACCCTTGGCAAGCCAGGGCCCAGGACAGCCCGATTCAGGGAAGCGCCCTTTTGGCTTCCAGGCCGTGGGTCTGAGGGACTGCACCCTCTCACGCCTTGCAGGGAGAACACTGAGGGATGCGCTTCTCCAGAAGGCGCAAGCGGCGCCGCCGGCCTCATTGCTCCTTGGCCGCTGGAGCAGTGGCTCGAGGGGCGTTCCCGAGGGTGGCAAGGACTGAGCCCCTGCAGGGTCACAGAAACCCCAGCTGGGTCTTCCTCCCCTCACTGCTTTCGAGGCATGGCTTCCTGCTCTGCTCGAGGGGGAAGCGAGAGACGCGCCTGTCCTTTCTCCTCGGCTCCGCGTGCTTTCTGCGAGTCCCAGCCCACGTGCAGCGTCTGGAAGCGTGGAGGAGCAGGACGCAGAGCCTGGAGGCAGACCCAGCCTGGACGCAAAGGAGTGGCTTGGGTGGAACAGCTTTGCTCCGAAGCGGCGGACTGCAGCTCCCGCTCCAAATACTCACCCCCCGTGTAATAGCCGTGGGCATAGAGGAGTCTTCCGAGGATCCATGCTGCGCCGAGGCCTGCAGTGACACGCTGGACAGAAAGCAGTAGCGGTCAGGGCCAGGAGAGGACCGGGGCACGCGCAGACCCTTCCCTCCGCCGCTGCCACCGTTCAGCTTTGCGCTGTTTTTTTAGTCTTATTGCATACTATTAACAAAGGTGATCATTGGTCAGGCAAATTCAACATCCCCACTTGACCCTGGACTGGTTCACGTGCCTGTGCGCTCCCCTGTTGCTTCTGAGGAAGAGGCAGCCTGTGCTGTTCCGTCAAGATAAATCACGGCTCCCCAAAAGCATCGGTCTGCAGAGCTACAATTTAGCCTTGGCACAGTGAACTACGGAAACGGTGTCAAACTGTTACAAACGTGAAAGTGGAAACTCTCACATGTAAAAGGAGGAAAGGTTAGACGAAAGGCACACACGATTTGGGCCTGGTTTGTGATCATCCCTAACCAACGGCCAGAAGCGGGCAATTGCCTTGTGAGGCAGTAACTCCTCTGAGTATTAAAATTCCATAATATTTGCCCTGTATGGTTGGGACTTAGTTTTGCTTTGGCTGGCAGCTGCATGGGTAACCGGCCACGGTGGGTTATTGTGACAGCCAAGCCTGGCATTTTTATTTATTATTTATTTAGGAAATTTATAGGCCACCCATCACTGTCGTCTCCGGACAGCATGGCATCCACAGGTCTCCCCACTTGCCCCCTCCCCCCACACCATGGAGCTTGAGGCACCACCTGAACCCTCGTCCCCGTTCGCAGGGCCGTTCCCTGTTTGAAGCCTACATCCCTACACCGTGGGTCGCGCTGCGTGCCGGACTGCCGGAAGGAAAACCGCGGGACACGCATGGCCATGACGGACACGCGTCTTTCCGCTTGCAAGGCCCAGATCACAAAGAATATGCCGTCCTCTTGCCAAGCGCTGGAGGAACTTGAAAGACGAAGCCTGGGATACGGGAAGCCGCGGCTATGGGGGAGCAGGGCAGTACAGCGGAGCCCACGGGGAACCCAGAGCCCCAGGCTACTGGAAGTCATTCTGAGCCGCCCCGCTCTGCTGTGGCTGCAGACGGCTGCCCCGAAGCCTCCCCTGCCGGCCCGAGACAGGGGACCCTCGTTTTCTAAGCCGCAATCGGGTCTCCAGATCGGAGCAGTTCGGCGTTGGTGGAATCCCACGCGGTGGAAGGGACTGGGTGCGAAGGAAGGTGCGACAAGGCAGTCCTCCCCACCTGGCACCCCCAGATCCTTGGGACCACAACTCCTCTGATTCCTCACCTTTGGCTATGCTGCTTGGGGCGGATGGGGGTTGGAGTCCAAAACACGGGAAGGTGCAAGGCTGGCCCAGGGAACCAACTACCCCAAGCTCTGCTCCCCAGGTGACCTGCCTGGGCTCCCCTGAGCCAGCTGCGTGGGAAAATGAGGCCTGGCCACCCGGGTACTTACCGGGTGGTAGATTCCACCTACACCGAGAAAGAACAGGAAGCAGGGATACACCTCCAGCCTGAAAGGAGAATCAGAAACGTTTCATGGGGGCGGGGGGTTAACGACGGCCTGGAAGAATGCACGGCTGCCCCCCCCCCCCCCCTGGCAGTTCTGGAGACCACGCTGCAGCCCTCCCCAGGGGGCACAAGTCGAGCACATCCGCAACAGTCCCGTCTTGCAGCCAGGAAAGACCGCCCCCCCTCCCCGAGATGCAGGCACACTTCTGGGCCCCGGAGGGGCAGTCGGCATCCTAGAAGAGCGCCGCAAAGCGCCAGCACAGATTGTCGCCGGGGGTGGCTGGCAATCTCGGGAACTTCTCTGGATTCACACTTTACCTGCCCCCTCGTACTCCCCCCCCCGCCAGCCCAGCGATCTCCGGCAGGGGCCTCTGTCCCCACGTCTGCTGAGGCCAGTGAGCGCCTGCCACCTCCCGCCCCTTCCGGTACCTCAGAGCCTCATGGGCAGGTCCAGGCTGGAGCAACGGGCGCAGAGGCAAGCCACCAGGCCTCACCTGCCTCCCAAGCTCTTAGCGGCGCTTTTTCGGCCCCAGAGGCCGGACATTCCCACACGACCCAAACCCTCCCCAGCGTCCGCGCGAGGCCCCTTGCACCCTGAAGCGCCTGCTGCGCTGGAGGGGGTGGCGAGCCTTCCGCTGGCAGGGGGAAGGCGGCCTGTGGCGGCACGAGTCTGGCACGGCTGTTTGGCGTAAGCGCATCCTCCAGCAGGCACACAAGGGAATCGCAGCACCGCTTCCTTCCTTCCTTCCTTCCTCGTCGCTGCACCGCAGGGCTGCCCGGTTCTCCAAGGCCGCGGAAGGCGTTCCACGCGGGGGGTGAGGAAGAGGCGGAGGATGGACCTCGGTGCCGCGGGAGCCACTCACGTGTTCTGGTGTGCCCTCTGGATGCAGTTGAAGAGGCGCCCGTGCTCAGGGTCCGTGCTGTACATATCTGGGTACTGTTGGGGGGGGCGGGGAGAAAAGCGCGGTCAGGAAACATGGGGGTTTGGCCGAGCGGAAAGCGAGCGGAGGGCGCCTCATGCGCTAAATGCGCATGGAGGCTCAGAGGAGGGAGCCCTGGCACACCTGACACTTTCGGACAAGGCACATTTGCCGCGGATGCTCAAGATGCTGCTGGACGTGCACATCAGCACTGAGCAGGCCCTGAGGCCGCTGCCGGGGGGGGGGGGGCCTTGTGGGGTCTCGGGCCCAGTGGCTCGACTGGGGAATTCGACAAAGGCCAGCCTGTCAGCTGCATTTCCTGCCATCCTGTAGCGGCCCGTGTGAAACAGTCCTGCTCTGTGAGACTTCAGCGACGGAGAAGCCCGCCAAAACCGTGCTCTGCTGCGACCGGCCTCAAGGAGCATAAGCGACGCGGGCCTCGCGTGACTCCTGCCCTGAGCGCGGGGCTGGACAGGGGGACCCCACAGTCCCGCTCCAAATGCTGTGCCTGCAGCCTGACTGCCGCGCCGCAGGAAGGGATCCCAGGTGCCGGCCCACACTGCCTCCCCGGCTGGGAAGAACGGATCATGGGCCACCCATGCCCCCGAGGCCTGCCGGGCGGCTCCTGCTTGCCCTCCATGGCTCAGACGAGACGCCAGGGACTCCCGCTCTGCCCACCCGCCTCTGGGGACTGTGGTAGCCAGCCGGCCGGCCGGCCTTCCTTCCGCCTTCCCCACTTGGAGGCTGCCCACGGCCCCTGGCTTGGCGAGATCTGCCCCGAGGCAGAGTCCCGGGGCTCCAAGCGCAGCACAGAGAATTGCACCAAGCGCAAGCAGCCCCAGCAAGCCAAGCCGCACAAGGCAAGGGGGACGCCACCAAAATGCAGCGCACAAAGGAGGCCGCACGCCACTCCAGAAGCACTTTACAGTGCTCAGTTTGCTCCCGGAAAGTATTCCCTGTATAAGAAGCCACATGAGACCCTAAAGAAGCCCTATTTAACCAGCAGAGTCCAAGAAGAGCGAGCCAACACAGAACCATAGAAGAGTCGGAGGGGGGCAGGAAGGCCATCGGGCCCAACCCCCTGCTGCTGCAGGACACCGCGTTCCACCACCCGCTCAGAGGCTGCCCAGTTCCTCTCGGAGCGTCTCCAGCGTGGGAGAGCCCCCACTTCTCCGGGCGGCTGGTCCCACTGTCCCACTGCCCGGTCTAGCCTGACAGAGCCCCGTGCAGAGGAGCTGGCAGCAGCGGGAGCATCCACACTGTGGCCGAGGCTCTTCACCCTTTCTGAGCCCCTGGGCGGATGAGCTGGCGGCACTGCTCACAGCAGTGAGTCAGACTCTGACTCACTTGGCAGCGAGTGCAGGCGCGCCCGCCCGCCGGCCTCCTCCCAGCCTTGGTGTCAAAGTCTTCCAACGGTCGGCCGCTGGGAGCAGCCAGGAGGAGCGCCTGTTTGGACAAGGGGGAGTGGACGGGAGGTTCACCCCAGGCTGCCCGGCAGGCAGGAGTGTCTGTGCAGGACCGGCGGACTCTCCAGCGACCCAGTTGAAGATGGGCCGCAAGGGTCTGCTGGGGCGCACCCCTTCTGGCCCTCCCCAGCCTCTGAGCGTGGGGTGCGTCTCCCCACCCCACTTCCCTGCCGCACCTCCAGGGTGCTGGCCTGTGCCTGGATCCCGTGCAGACAAAAAGTCCTAAACCCCCCAAAAGCGCACAGCACGCAGCTCAGTCTTCAGCAGCATCAGGCCTCCCTGCTCCTTGGCCTTGGCCTTCGCCAGTTTATGTTAAGTTAGCAGGATACTGATGACTTCTGTGACTGTGTGCAATTCAGACAACTTGTATGAACACGATGAAGCCATGCAGGTTGCGGGACCTTTTCTTACTGAGGGAGACAAAGGGCAAGGGCAGGGGTGCCGCTTTCCACAGAGCAATCTGGAATCTGCACGCGTACCTTCTGGGCACAGCCCCACGGGAAGAGCAGAACCACCACAGATCAGCACCCCACTGTTCTGCCCTGTCCGGTGGCCCAGAAGGCCAGCCTGGCCCATGGTGCCAGAGGCCACTGGGAGAAAGTGGCCCTGCGACTCCAGTCGTGTGGCATGTGGCGTCCGCCAGGGCCACCACAGCGCTCTGGATCCGACAGCCTGCCCGGAAGCCAGACCGAGAGCTGCTTCACCTGGAGGCATCTGGACTTGCAGTGCCAACCCCCTCAGCATCAGCTCTCTTGCGCCTCCGCTTGAGACAAGCCTGTCGTTAGATCTCCTGGGTCAAGAGAAGGCTCGCTTTTCTGGCTTGGTTCGAGTGATGGTCCTACTGCTGCTTTGACTAAGCGACAAGGAACAACCCCCCCAGACGACTTCTCTTGGCTGCAGCGTGAGCACCACCTTGGCTGATTTCATCAGCCGAGCAAAGCAAGGGGAGCCCGGACATGGCTGGGGGACTCACTGCTTCAGGGAACCTGTTCACACCTTCCAGTTCCATAAAACGGAAGAATCCAAAACCACTGGACAGGTGTTTGCCAAGGTTACATCACTCTGCCCTGCCCAAAACGGCGTTCAAATCAAGGCCAAGGTCGATGTTATTGGCAGACTGGAATTCTCGACTAAGGCGGGGAACTCAGTAGATCTGGTCACTCACCTCCACGTGGTATTTCTTGCGTGCTTTCCCCACATTTACTGCGAGGTACGTTATCAAGACAAAACTTGCGGCACCAGTGAGAGCCACGTAGCTGTATTCCTTAGAGAGAACCACCATCTTGGCACTATGGAGAGAGCAAGGAGGACAGGTCAGAATTTCGCTCAGAATGAATCTGGGGGCTTGAGGCCAGTAACATCAGAACGAAAGAGTGTGCATGAGACCTGAACAAAAGTTGAACAGAAAAGGCCTTCCGTGTTCATGATTATTTTATCCAAAGGCTTATTTGTCCTGAATGTGTTTAACTCCTTGACTTGGCACTGCTTGCAAATCAACGGCTTTTGTGTTTTCTGTCATCTTGCCAAGCCTTTGAATAAATTTGCTGAGTTGAGACAAGAAATATGGGAGCAGAGGGCCATTTTGCTAGGGAACGAGACGATCCTTTCCAGAACGGTAACATGATGGTGAAGTCGGCTGCCCCCAAAACCAGACTGAAAGGAGTAACAGCGTTGTTCCCCAGGTGGAGCGTGCGCAGATTAAACAGTCTCTTTGCAAGTCCTTCAGGAGCCAAGGAGGGAAGAGCCGCGATGCTCTCCTGTCCGGGGGAGGCATGGCTCCAAATGCCTGCCCCAGCGGTCTGGCCCTCGTGGCCTCCGAAGCCCCGCGCGAAACACGCCGGCTGCTGCCCCCGTCCCAGCTGCAGGCACACGCCAGTTCCCCCAGCTGCGTTCGTTGCAGGTGTGGGCCCCTCACCTCCCACACCTCCGCATCCGTGCTGACATTCCAGCCCCGCAGCCGGAGCACATGCCTTGGAGCCTGGAAAGGGCTAAGGTGCAAGAGGCGTGCAAGGCGGGCCACGCGTCTTGCACAGCGTGGGCAACCGTGGCAAGTGGGCAAGGACGTGCTGCTGGCAGGCCCGGTGTGCACCAAACTCAAAGTCCACAGAGATAGCACCAGGCAAAGGCCAAAACCAGCCCTAAGTTCCTCCTCCCTTGAGGAAAGCTTCCTCAGGAACAGCTGGGCTGGACGCCAAGCACTCTCCACTTCCTTCTGTCCCAGCACGTGGGCGGGCTGCCATCCCCGTGCTGATGCCCCCGTTAATCACCCCCGGCTGCAGTGCATTTTGGGGCACATCTGCTCCCCCCCAACTGCTGCAGATCAGCAGGCCTAGCTGAGACTTTGAGAGGGAGCTGGTGCCGCCCCCCGTAAAGCAAAGCACACGGACCCAACTCCACACAGCCATCCGCTCGTGTGAACAGACAACCGCGTGGCTTGCAAAGATTTCTCTCGTACTAGAGCGAGGCATTTCCCGACACGGTTAAAAGTGGGCGGAATTAAGCCCGCAGCGGAGCCAGCGTTTGACATCTCAAGGGCGTTCGGGGCTTCAGGCTGCCTGATTAGCACCCCCCGCACCCCCCCTTGCTACTGTGGGCTTCCTCCG